CCCTCACTTAAAATAAAATATAACGAAAAAAAAAAACATCTAATTTTGTCATAAAGTTTTAGGGTTGTTATCTCTAAATTGTAGAAAATTCTATTTTAGTCTTAAAGATGGCCTAAGAAAATTATTTTATTCCATGAAATTTATTTAGCCTTCAAATTTAATGAAGCTACATCAAGGTGAGGGAGATTATTCTTTGATTTTGTCTAGTTCAGCACATTATAATGCTATTTTTCAATATTTAATTTTCTTTTTCTCCATTTATAAGTGTGAAACATGAGAAAAAATGTCATTTGATCATGTGTATCACTTTTTTTTAGTCATCTTATGGTTTGTCTTATCATATAATTTATTTATTGTATGAAGAGTTCAAATATATATTGATATAATTAATCATTAAATAAAGTTCAACATTAATTAAATATACAATAGTCATTGTTTCCTACCACTCATTTAAATCATTTTCATCATTTTTCTAAAAGAATATAATTTGATGTCATATGAATTATATAAAGAATCTTCAATCTTATATCTGGCTCTACCGTTGGCTGCTTCTATAAAGTTCCTATGAAAAACTTATCTTTACTTTTATGCTACGAAAATGTCTAGACAATTATTAAAAGAAAAAAGAAAAAAAAAACTGCACAAAGTAAAACAATTATAGAACCAAAAAAGTAAAACTAAATTGCAACTAAATTCTACTCATACTTTTTCAAACAATTGAAAGGTAAAAGAAAACAATTATAAAAAGAAATGAAAGTTCAAATCCTATTTTCAATTATTTCATTTCGGTAACTCAAATTTTAAAAGGTTTATTTTTAGTTTTTAATATTTAAAAAATAATTAGCTTAGTTGCCGCTATGCTGATGTGGCATGAAGCTATATAGGTATATATTTCAGTTCAATATTTGGAAGGTAGAAATTCAAACCATCGACCTTTAAAATGATAATAAATGTCTTATCTATTTGAATTTTAATTGATAATTTGAAAATAATGGATTCAAGAAAAACTAGTGTTTTTAAATACGTATTTGGTAACAAATTGAAAAATTAAATCTCACTTTAAAATGGTTGAATGTGTGCTTAGATATATTTGTAAATAGTGATAGTTACGACTAACTATTTAATAATCTAAAATATTATTAATTAATTTATTACACATATATATTATAAATTTTTGTAATTATTATTTTACAATGTTATATAATTTATAATATATTATCTTTTACCTATTTTAATGAAATAATTTATAATATGAAATAGTAATGTAATTAAGCATTTTAAAATTTCAAATTTAGAATCAGAAAATACTCACGACTAAAATAAATTTATCAAATTGATATTCACGGAATCCATTTGATTTATTCGAAAATGATAAATAGAATCTGAAACCTCTACCAATCAGATCTTTAAATAGAAAATTAAATAGATATTTTAAAAATTAAATATTGACATAAATAAAGAGGGTTTTAAACGTTTTAAAAAAATTATTAAAAAACAAAATTTCACTAATGGAATTGTAAGCGTGCATGATGCCATAATCAATGCCACTTTCAGACGTCANATTCTGTTGAGATTTTTTCCAAAAGAAAAGAGAAAGGAAAAACAAATTAAATATGTGGGTAATGTCTGTTGGAGTGATTAAGGCAACGTGGTTATATTTTGAAATCTAATTAGTCGTAATAATTATCTCGTGCATAAGTTGGGCAAATGGGTAATTATATAATTTTTTTTTGACAGAAATTAATAATTTTTTGAGCCAATAAAGTATTAATTTTGGATTGGAAATTTAATGGCCAACGTCAGAATTGATTCCATGTTGACCATCTTGTGATGGTGGAGTGGGGATTTCCAATATTTCAGTTTCAATCAATATAAGAAAAGAAAAGAAAAGCAAAAAAGTTCACCCACAAAATAATAATAATAAATAAATAATAAGAATAATAATAAATAACCCTACAAATGTTGTTTTTCTAAAGACACTGATTGGTTAATACATTTCAATTTGTTTAATACATGTAATTATTAATTTGACCTAAGTGCAAATAATTCCATTAAAATTAGCGCTATGAAACAATTAGGAAAAAAAATCACACTTGTGTACTTTCAGTTCAAGGTGCACATATAAAATATAACTTTATTTATAAATTAAGATAAATGTGTGTATGATTTTTACTTTTTAAATAACCTTTTTATATATTGATCACAAAACGAAATGTTTATCATATAAGCAAATCAAAAAGTAATAATTAAAAAAAAAGTAATATAGGATTGATTTTCGGTGAATTTAACTAAAAAATTGTGAGACCTTTATGGAATTGATTTCAGGATTTTAGCTACAATGTTAAGAAAATACTAAACACACATTTAAATAAGATTGCTAATGTCTAGTTTAACTAATTAGGCTCAAGTCGAAAAAGTAACACCTCCAACAATATATATTTTTCTTTTCTTTAGTACAACAAACGAGATTGAGATTCGAATTCATGACCTCTTGATCGATATGTCAATTACTTCTAAGCTAAATTTATGTTGGGTTAACAATATGAAATTTATCGGGTAGAATATGAAAGTTATGAAAATGTGTACTTGAGAGTATTGGTTATCATTATTATTTAAATTAAATTATAAATTTGGTCTATGAACCTTGAAAATTGTGTACAATAAATTTATAAATTTTAAGAAGTTAAATAGATCTGTAAACTTTAAATAGTGTACAATAAGTTTCTAAATGCCCCCAAGGAGCAGCCCTATTGGCAAGGGCACAGGGCATAGGGCATTGTGGTCCCTATCGTTTCAAAACGTCTATTTAGAATTTCTTGTACTTTTATAAAGTGACCATTTTGGTCGATTCATTTTTATTTTATCTGATTTTTCAATCATAATTTTAACACAACAATACATTCGTTATCTTTTTGAAATGTAACCATAAATCTATATTAAAAAATTTATATTGAGTATAAAATCTGTGTTAAATTTTGCAAATAAGAACCATATTGGTTACTTTTTAAAAGTCCAACGACATTTTGAACGTACAAGAATTGAAATATACAAAAGATGGAAGTATCTAAATTAAAATGAACATTTTAAAAATATAAAACAGGATAACAAATTATATTAAAAACAATATTAAAATTCTAAAAATTAATTAGACCGTTTTTAACTTTTAAGTTCGAGGTTTAAAATTCAAGTTATTATTTATTTTGATGAAAGAGTGAGAAGAAGACACGCCATTGGGGATTTATCTGACTAAATTTCCAACTCCTAATTAATATTTTCCTGAATTTTCCATTTGCGTCCACTATTGTTTTATTATTATTATTATTATTATTATTATTATTATTTTTGCAAAGGGACTTGTTTTATTACCATCACATAATATGGACCACCTCACATTTTCTTCGAAAAATTAATGACGATAATAAAATGTTTTTTTATTTTATTTTAAGAATTAAAATATAAATTTAAAAAATTAAAGGACAAAAACGAAACAATATTAAAGGTCTAGGGATTAAATATATGTTTTTATTGGATAAAAATAAGGTGAGGCTAAAAATACTTTGTTTAAAATGTATTCTCCTCCCTTGAGAAAATGATAAAAATGGGCATATGTACTATGCAGTACATTTTAGACCAATTTGTTTTTTTGCTTGCCTAACATTATTTTATTCATGGTACCGAGTCGTACATAACATTTAAGAAATAATATTCACTGAAAAAACTTATTAAAATTAACTAACATTAGCTTAGTTTAGTGGCAATTGACACATACTTCTGATTAAGAGGTCATGAATTCGAATTCTTTCTTCGTTGTACTAAAAAAACTTATCAAAATTAAAATAAAAAGAGTTTAAAATGCTAGTTGAAACTCCTTAAAATTAAAATATTATACAAACACAAGATAAAATCTTAACTCAATCCCCAAAAATGAAAAAAAAAACGAAAAAAACTGTTAAAATTTAAGTTTGGTGCCTAAATTTATAGCACTATGTCTATTTAAAAAGTTTATAATAGGTTGCAAAATTTTGAACGTTATGTCTATTTGGTCCATGTTAAAATTTTTTAAACAAGTACTTAAAATGGCTCTTGATAACGTTCTTGTTTTTGTTTCACAAAACAATTTTTTTATTTATGTTTTGGAACAAATTAGAAATGAGAATAATAGATAAAAACTTGTTTTTGTTATTTCCGAGATATATATACAATTGTGAGAATGTTCACAAAATTAGTCACAAAATACTTAGATGTCTTAAGAAAATTGAAAACGAGAAACAAGAAACGGAATGTTACCAAACGAATCATAAACTTTCCATTTCATGTCTAATAGTTTCCAATAATCATGAACTTAATTAATTTAAAACGTTTACGTGCTATGATGATCATATTATTTAAAAATTAAATGACAGGTTGATTTCGAACGTATATTTTGGTGTATGTTGGTAAAAATTTAAATAAACAAAGTAAACAACATGGACATATTAGCCACAAATCAAGAACATATAGAAACCAACTCAAATACAAATCAACATCATACATTCTCGATCAAAATATCAGAGGTTCGAATTCTCATTCCAATATTTTTTCTTTTCAGTGCCATATGTGGTTGGAGATTGAAACCTAGGAGATTTTTTTATCGAAAATAAATATCTTTAACGTGTTAACTGTGATTTAACCTTCAAAAAAAGGTAAACAGTAAACAGTGAGATGCGGATAGTAATCGAACGGTTGGCTCCACAAACCCTGGAGAATGGAAAAGCGGTTAAAAGGGGAAACGCGCTGGCTGCTGCTGCTGCTGCCTCCTCCTTTTTCGTTTTCGTTCCCACTGACAGACACGTGCTTTTGCCACGTTGGTTTTTTTACCGCGTCCCGGCGGAACGGCTCCGGCTCCGGCGCACCTGACAAAAATCCTCCGATCCGGCTTCATCCCCATTTTCCTTTAATTCTTCAATTCATTCTCCTCTTCTTACAAATACAGATTCAGCAGTTGATGAGGATTGGTGGGTTGCTTCCCCTTTTCCCTAATAAATACTCTGATTTCAGGTTCATTCTCAAATTGGAAACTCCACACTCCGAATCCCACTCCCACAAGTGGCAATTGAAGAACAGAACCATCTGTGCCATATGGGTCCTCTCTTCTTCCTTTCCAAACATTAAACATTTCCAGATTTCGGACCATAAAATCGGGGCGTTTCTGTAAAAACTTGGGTTTCTTTGCTTTGCTTTGCACATGTTTTCTGAAAAGTTGAACCCATTTTAATATTATATTTCGTTTCCATTCCGAGTGGGGGATCCCAGAAGAGTGCTGCCGGTGCGCTCGATTTTGTAAAAATATTCTGTTTCCTTAGTGGGAGATATCTGAGAACCCGGCTGAGATCCCCTTCCCTTCCCTTCCCTTCCATTGTTTATAACACACAACTCTATGTACGCCTTCTTTTCTCCGTCATTTCAAATGGGTATGTATGTTCTTTATCTTTCTCTTCCCTTTTCCTTCTCCAGTTTCGTTTCTTTCTCTGTTTTTTTATTTTTGGAACTTTTGCTCTTCTGGGTTTCTGACTCCGGTCCTCTTGTTTGTTTATTTTGGTAATTGCGTGGTTATATGCTCTTTCAATTGAAAGGATTCACTGCCGAATCTGTACTTCCTTCTGGTTTCGGTCCTTGATTTACTGTTTCAATGATGTATTCATTGAACTGATTTATCTTCCCAGCTTTTCTCTGTAAGAAATTTCAATCGTGGTTTCCTTAATATTTCTTCTTGGTTTGTGAAAGTTCATCTTCGTGTCTTTTCGCCCTCTTCCTTCATAGAAACATGACCTAGTTCTTGATTGGGTTCCTTCTGGTTCTGGTTCTGGTTCTGTTTCTGGGTCCCCCTTTTTTTCCATTTCTCTGATTTATTTTGCTCGTTTTCCATGACAGAGATGAGCATGAGCTTTTCAAACGACATGGGTGATGAATATCAAAAGCTTATCAGAAGAATGAACCCACCCAGGTACGCAGCCTCCTCTATTTTCAACCTAATCTTTACCTACTTCTACTCTGTTCCAACTCCTAACTCATTGTTCATGGCCAAATTTGCAGGGTCGTAATCGACAACGAATCCTGCAAAAACGCCACGGTTGTTCGGGTACAGCTCTTTCCCTCCTTTCCTTTCTTGCTCTTAAGAAATTTATGCCTCATACTTCCTCGTACATTTCCTTTTTGTGCAGGTGGACAGCGCTAACAAACATGGCATTCTTCTAGAAGTGGTTCAAGTCCTGACTGATCTTAATCTTATCATAACCAAGGCTTACATTTCTTCCGATGGGAATTGGTTTATGGATGGTAAGTTTCTCTCATCAAAGAGAAGAACTCCTTCTGATTCCATTTCACCCCCTTGTGAGAGTTCTAATATAATCCTTCATTTGAATTCTGTAAACAGTTTTTAATGTCACGGATCAAAATGCGAACAAGGTTGTGGATGAAGGGATTTTAGATTACATAAGATCAGTGAGTGGTAGTTTTGTTTTGGGATTTTAGCTGCATTTCTGTTTTTCTACTTGCTTTGATTTGGTTTATGGTCTAATTTGAGTACTTTCGTTTAATATACAGTCTCTTGGTCCCGATTCGTGCTTTACATCTTCCATGAGATCTGTTGGTGTTGAACCATCCACAGATCATACTGCAATTGAGCTCGTAGGCAGTGATCGACCCGGACTTCTCTCTGAAGTGAGTGCTGTTTTAACTCACCTTAAATGTAGTGTAGAAAGGGCTGAAGTGTGGACGCATAATACCCGAGTCGCCGCAGTGATGCACGTGACCGACGAGGAAACCGGTTCTGCAGTTACTGACATGGAGAGACTGTCCACAATCAAGAAGTTGCTTTGCAATGTACTGAGAGGCAGCAACAAATCCAGAGGAGCCAAAACCGTGTTCTCTCATGGGGTTATCCACACTGAGAGAAGACTTCACCAAATGATGTTCGCAGATCGGGATTACGAGCGACTGGACGATGAAATCTCGGATGGGAAACAGAAGCCAAATGTGAATGTTATCAATTTGTTTGATAAAGATTATTCAGTAGTCACCATACAATGCAAGGATAGACCAAAGCTTCTGTTTGACACAGTTTGCACATTGACTGATATGCAATATGTTGTTTTCCATGCAAATGTTGATGCTGAAGGGCCAAAGGCGTATCAGGTAATCCGTTGCTATGCTTTCTAATCGCGCCGTTGCTCGAGCACGGAATCGATCTCGCCTTTATATTTGGCTTGATATTACTAGGATGAAAATGCATTTTCAGGAATATTATATTAGACACATAGATGGATCCCCTGTGAATTCAGAAGCAGAGAGGCAAAGGTTGATACAATGTCTTGGAGCTGCCATTGAAAGACGAGTATCCGAGGTTAGTAGTCGTTTCGTTTCGCCCCATTCGTCTACCGAAATCCAACGTCCATGTTCTAATACTTCTCTATCTATATCAACATTCTCATCCTCATTCAGGGATTGAAGCTCGAACTATGCACTGTTGATAGCATTGGCCTACTCTCTAATGTCACACGTATCTTTAGAGAGAATAGCTTGAGTGTCACCCGAGCCGAAGTGAGAACCGAAGGAGGGAATGCAATAAACACATTTTATGTGCGCGATGCATCGGGTTATCCTATCGATTCCAAGACAATAGATTCCATAAGACAACTGATTGGTCAGACCATATTGAAAGTGAAAGGTAGTCCTGGTGAGGCCGAACCTGACTCTCAAGAATCTCCAACAAGGTTTCTATTTGGAGGTCTCTTCAAGTCCAAGTCCAAATCTTTAGTGAACTTTGGGTTGATCAGATCATATTCTTGAGCTCACTCACAAATTTCTCCTTAGCCACAAATATTTACTAGAGATCTGTTCAGAAGATGCGAGAATTTAACCCAAAAACAGAACAAAATTGTGGAAGATTGCTAACACCATCAAAAAGGGGCAGAGGAAAACAGAGAGTGAAATTTTATTCAATTCACTAACTTCTAATGCTTCCTTGATGTTGTGAGGAGAAAGGAAAATGTGGTTAAATGTTAAATCTGTAATGATGATACAAACTAATCTTAGTATTGTAAATATTTTGTTTTTGTTGTGAGTTTTCTGTTTCATCAATTTCCTCCTTCGGGTATCAACTCGGAGGTGGGAATTCGAAACTTTTGACCTAAAAGAAAGATCAGTAGTATCGTAATTGATAGTTACGTTCAAGATTTATTTTAACATGGTCAAATTTTATGAATTGGTTTGGTTGGAATCTCGAAAATTGTTGAACTAATTGCATATTTTAAGTCCACTAGAAAATATGTGGCGTGGCTTTGAGCTTGTTTAGTATGCTGCTCCAATTTTATTTTTGTTTTTGGATCATCTATTTTAGTAGAGTTATTTTTAAAAATTGCTTTTGAAATTTGTGATCTAATTAAAATTAAAACAACAATATTTTTGTCTTCAATATTTTGAGATTTTAAATTTTAAATTTATTCAATGTAGGATTATATTAAAAAAGATAAAATTTTTTATAAATATACTTTTTTATAAATTTTATAACATAAAATAGGTTAATAAATAAAATAATATATTTTTTTGAGTAACAATTAATTAATAATATCCGAAATTGAACTAAACATTCAACTAAGACTATTTTTGATGCTTATGAATATATTATTAAACGCGATCGGTATAATTTTTTAAATTGAGCAAAATATTGGAAGCAATGGAATAAAATTCTCTATATATATATTTTTATTAAATTTATTGCTGCGGCTTATTAAAATTTTGGAGATAATAGACAAGCAGCTATAATTTAGGTTTGGCACTTCAACTTCAACCTAAATAGATTCAAAAATTATGTGTGTGTGTATATATATTATTTTTAGACAAAATATTTCAGCACAATATTAACAATACATGTAAAGCAATTATCATACTAAGTAAATTATTAATTTTATTATAAAAAAGTTTATTACGTTTCATTGTGGAAATAAAATAATTGGTACTGTATTTCATTTTCTAGGACTCGGTTTATTAAATTATTATAATATTTACAATAATCTATCCAATGAATTCAATAGTTATCAAGTATTATATTTATTAAAAAGGTTTCACATTTCATTTTTTTCAGTACAATATGTAGGAGTAAGAATTCGAACTCACGACCAACTTTTTGATCGAAAATAAACACCTTAACTAGTATAATTATGTCAAAATTGGCGGACTTAGATTTCATTTTAAATAAGAAATATTACTATTGGTAATTACATATATACTTTTATAAAAATATGGATATCACGTGCCCTTTTTTGATGAACACGTGTCCTCTATCTAATGGTCTCAACATGGTCCATTAAGCTACATTGCATTTAATTGAAAACATTATAACACGTTGTGGATACGTTATATATATTTTTTATATCCGTGCCAGGTCAGTTTACAAGGTTGTCGATACATAATTATAGTTTCATTACCAATTTGGTTTCATAGGATCGTTTTAGTTTCAATTTAATCCATATTCAGGGAGATTTAAAAGTTTTGATTTTTTTAGTACAACATGATAGTTAGAAAATAAAAAGAACCGTGGAGAAAATAGTTCGCAGAGTTGGAGAATAGAATCTTCAATAAAAGGAAGAAATACTCATAATATAAAGCTTGTATACGTGGAGCCGAAGTATTTGTTAGAAAATAAAAACTATTACATATATAAATTAAAGAAGAACATACCCATAAAATGTGAGGATATAAATAGCATTTGATCACAAACCTACAACTTTTGGATCGGAAAAATATGTCTTAACCAATTGAAAAATATGTCTTAACCAATTGAACTATGCTCTTTAAAATTTTTGATTTAATTACCGTAGGTTGAGCTTAATTTTTATTTGGCTTTTATAGTCGAGTTAGTCCTAACAAAACATCTCTGTTGTTTACGAACTATTATCATATTAAATATGTAATATATTTCCTAATTACGAGATAACAAGTTGGCGTTTTTGAATTATTCAATTGTCTTAACTGATTTGAGAAACAATCTTCATGTTCATTAATGGCTGATTTTGCCAAATTAACACTTTGACCAGAAACTTCTTCATAACTTCTCAAAATGACCAATAATTCTGTTGGAGAAGCTTTGCAATTTGCAAAACAATAGATTATCATGAGAGTGCAATGTTTCTCCTGTTTAATTCCCTTACAGAGCCGCCATAATTGAGAACATTTAAACAATAATGCTCAGTTACATCCCAGTATTCCTATGAATAGATAGGGACCGAATCTGAAATTGTTGAGGGAAAATTGGAAATTTCTTAGAACAATAGTGAATACTTCAGATCATTCCTACTAATTTCACTAAAAATTAAGGGCAACCTGATAACTACTCATTAAATCCACATTGGGTCTAAGAAATGTTGCTCAAATTACTCATTGAAACAGTAATACAACTTAATAGAGGAATTGGACAAATTACAAGGCTAAATATCTAGAAACAGGGAGAGAAACATGATGTATTGACTCAAAGGTTTTCAAGAACTGAACTCTCAGGAAAGGAAGCAACAATGGGACTCTTCTTACTTCTTAGTAGACAGATGATCCGACAGAGGGTGAATCTTTACCTGAACTCCGTGTTGGGGGCAAATAGTGAGGAACTGGAACGGTGCGTGGACGTAGGCTGGGGAGATGGTGAAAGAAAACCGTTGTAGAATCATCGATAGTGCAATTTTTGTTTCGTTAACGGCCAAGATATTGCCGACGCAGTTTCGAGGACCCAGTCCAAACGGGATGTATGCAGCTGATGGGATATCTTTAGCTGTTCCTTCAGAAAATCTTTCTGGTTTGAATTCATGGGCATCTTCACCCCATGTTGCAGTATCATGATGAACTGCAATATTTGAAATGCTTACTTGTATGCTGGCTGGGAGAACCAGCTTTCCCAATCTTACTTCCTTTTTAACCATCCTTGACATTGGCGTGGCTGGGGGATATAATCTTAGTGATTCCTTGATGATCATGCTCATCTGCAAGAGGAGATTAAGACAAGCTCTCAATTTATGATTTTTCTTTGATAAGAAACCGAACTTTCATTGAGAAACATGAAAGGATATATACAGAAAAACACGCTCTCAATTCTTGATTATGAATGGAAGAAAAGCAGTCATTGTAAAAGAGAGGGGAAATGGATTCCCCCCATAGAGACTGTAGTCTGTAGCCTATAGAAAGTTTGAAAGAATTTCCTTCTTCAAACATTACAGTTTAATCCAAACTTTCCTGAATTCAATGAAGATTTAAACAGTGTAAATTTGGATGTGGGCTACTAAATCTAAAATCAGACCGGAAAAGACTGAATGTAAATCTCTATTCAAGATGAAGATCAATCAACAATTCTCAATATAATCCTTTAATGAAAGACTAAATCAAGTATATGAGAATTGGGTGCTTATCACCAACAATTCTTAAGCTTGCTATGACAAAGTAATGCTGTTAATAATGGATCTAGAGACATGCTTACAATCTTTAATTTTGCAATGCCCTCTAAAGTTGGATTTGTGTTGCCAAACATATCGAACACTTCCTTTCTTGCTTCTTCTTGCCAGTCCACATGAGTTGCTAAAAGAAAGGAAGTCCAAGAAAGCAAAACATTGGTAGTTTCTTGCCCCGCAAAGTATACGGTTTTGCATTCATCGACTACGTCGTCGACAGAAATCCTCTGCCTCGGGTCAGGGTCATTTTTTGCCTTCAAAAGTAGCCCAAGAAAATCATTACCATAGTTATCTGCTTCACCGCTCATCACCTTCTCTTCTCTCTTTTTTATAATAGAAACTATGGAATTTTTCATCCTCATTTCAAGCTCATCTCCCTCCCTCGCATCCTTCGTTTTGAACAACTTGCTGCACACAAATTCAAAAATTTAGTTTACTTAGATGGTATTGATGCAAATAAGCAGATCGTTTCAAGAATACTTAAAACAAACACCCTGACCTGAATCCAGGAATTCTCCGTTTGAATTGATTCTTAAATAATATCATGCTCAGCTTACTCAAAGTCTCAAAAATAAATTTCCCTTCCAGATAACTACTTCCAAAAGCAGTATGTGCTATGATATCTGAAGTTAACAGCTTAAACTCTTCAAACAAATCAAGCTCTTTGCCTTCATCATTTTTCTTCCACTTTTCCACCATTGCCTCAGCACAGGAAACCATGGTTGGCATCATGTTCTGCGAAAATCAATTTCAACAAATTAAGCTACTATTGTATCACTAAATTGGTAAAAAGAATCAAACCGAAATCCTACTAACTTTCAGGAGCTCCCCATGGAAAGCGTAATCAGCGATCCTTCGAGCCTTAGCCCATTTTTCACCGTCGGAAGTCGAAAGTCCATCCCCGAATATTCTACGCGCATCGCCGCCGAGATCAATTTTAGTAATAGCGCGCTCTCGATTATGTAGTATCTCCTTTATCGTCTCAGGATCCGAAACAATCAACTGAGCTTGGGTGCCATTCCACTGAATGAAGTTTTTCCCTGAAATAAAAACCCTAACTAAGTACATGTGTGTTGAAGAAAGTGGAAAAAATCGAAGCTCACCATATTTGTCGATCCACAAGTGAATATGAGGATTAACTCTTGGAAGTATGTGATGATCGGAGATATCCAGGGAGGTGCGCATGGATTCAAACTTCATCTTCATTACTTGAATCATATTTCCATAGATGAAGTTGGAAGGAGGACCGTAGACTCCCTGCGATCGCATGATACGCTGAATCCGAAGAGGTTTCCACCATAGCTTGAGAAGGACATAGAAAATGGAAGAAGCAGAGAGAACGCCGAGTAAAAAGACGGCAGTTCCAGCAGCCATGGCAGTTCCGCACTCAGTGGCGAGAGTTCACAGAATCAACTGAAATTAAAATCGAAAACGTCGCCATCTGAAAAAACAGAGAGGCCCTTCAATTCCTTTTGTATTAAGAAAACAGAACGGTTCATGGTTGTGTTCACCGTCGTCCTTTTCCCTCAA